TGTGTGGGTGTGAGAGTGTGCGAGGCTGTGACACACAATGTCTGTGTGTGTGGGTGTGAGAGTGTGCGAGGCTGTGACACACAATGTCTGTGTGTGGATGTGAAAGTGTGCAAGGCTGTGGCACACAATGTCTGTGTGTGGGTGTGAGAGTGTGCGAGGCTGTGACACACAATGTCTGTGTGTGGGTGTGAGAGTGTGCGAGGCTGTGACACACAATGTCGGTGTGGGTGTGAGAGTGTGCGAGGCTGTGACACACAATGTCTGTGTGTGGGTGTGTGAGAGTGTGCGAGGCTGTGACACACACTGTCTGTGTGTGGGTGTGTGAGAGTGTGCGAGGCTGTGACACACAATGTCTGTGTGTGGGTGTGAGAGTGTGCGAGGCTGTGACACACTATGTCTGTGTGTGGGTGTGAGAGTGTGCAAGGCTGTGACACACAATGTCTGTGTGTGTGGGTGTGTGAGTGTGCGAGGCTGTGACACACAATGTCTGTGTGTGGGTGTGAGAGTGTGTGAGGCTGTGACACACAATGTCTGTGTGTGGGTGTGTGAGAGTGTGCGAGGCTGTGACACACAATGTATGTGTGTGGGTGTGAGAGTGTGCGAGGCTGTGACACACAATGTCTGTGTGTGGGTGTGAGAGTGTGCGAGGCTGTGACACACAATGTCTGTGTGTGTGGGTGTGAGAGTGTGCGAGGCTGTGACACACAATGTCTGTGTGTGTGGATGTGAGAGTGTGAGAGCCTGTGACACACAATGTATGTGTGTGGATGTGAGAGTGTGCGAGGCAGTGACACACAATGTCTGTGCATGGATGTGAGAGTGTACGAGGCTGTGACATACAATGTCTGTGTGTGGGTGTGAGAGTGTGCGAGGCTGTGACACACAATGTCTGTGTGTGTGTGAGCGTGTGCGAGGCTGTGACACACAGTGTGTGTGTGTGAGAGTTTGCGAGGCTGTGACACACAATGTTTGTGTGTGTGGATGTGAGAGTGTGCGAGGCTGTGACACACAATGGCTGTGTGTGTGTGAGGGTGTGCGAGGCTGTGACACACAATGTCTGTGTGTGCGAGAGTGTGCGAGGCTGTGACACGCAATGTCTTTGTGTGTGGGTGTGAGAGTGTGCGAGGCTGTGACACACAATGTCTGGATGTGAGAGTGTGCGAGGCTGTGACACACAATGTCTGTGTGTGTGGTTGAGAGTGTGCGAGGCTGTGACACACAATGTCTGTGTGTGTGGGTGTGAGAGTGTGCGAGGCTGTGATACACAATGTCTGTGTGTGGGTGTGAGAGTGTGCGAGGCTGTGACACACAATGTCTGTGTGTGGGTGTGAGAGTGTGCGAGGCTGTGACACACAATGTCTGTGTGTGGGTGTGAGAGTGTGCGAGGCTGTGACACACAATGTCTGTGTGTGGGTGTGTGAGAGTGTGCGAGGCTGTGACACACAATGTCTGTGTGTGGGTGTGAGAGTGTGCGAGGCTGTGACACACAATGTCTGTGTGTGGGTGTGAGAGTGTGCAAGGCTGTGACACACAATGTCTGTGTGTGTGGGTGTGTGAGTGTGCGAGGCTGTGACACACAATGTCTGTGTGTGGGTGTGAGAGTGTGTGAGGCTGTGACACACAATGTCTGTGTGTGGGTGTGTGAGTGTGCGAGGCTGTGACACACAATGTCTGTGTGTGGGTGTGTGAGAGTGTGTGAGGCTGTGACACACAATGTCTGTGTGTGGGTGTGAGAGTGTGCGAGGCTGTGACACACAATGTCTGTGTGTATATGTGAGAGTGTGCGAGGCTGTGACACACAATGTCTGGTGTGGGTGTGAGAGTGTGCGAGGCTGTGACACACAATGTCTGTGTGTATATGTGAGAGTGTGCGAGGCTGTGACACACTATGTCTGTGTGTGGGTGTGAGAGTGTGCAAGGCTGTGACACACAATGTCTGTGTGTGGGTGTGAGAGTGTGCGAGGCTGTGACACACTATGTCTGTGTGTGGGTGTGAGAGTGTGCAAGGCTGTGACACACAATGTCTGTGTGTGGGTGTGAGAGTGTGCGAGGCTGTGACACACAATGTCTGTGTGTGTGGATGTGAGAGTGTGCGAGGCTGTGACACACAATGTCTGTGTGTGTGTGTGAGAGTGTGTGAGGCTGTGACACACAATGTCTGGTGTGGGGGTGTGAGAGTGTGCGAGGCTGTGACACACAATGTCTGTGTGTGTGTGAGAGTGTGCGAGGCTGTGACACACAATGTTTGTGTGTGTGTGTGTGAGAGTGTGCGAGGCTGTGACACACAATGTCTGTGTGTGTGGATGTGAGAGTGTGCGAGGCTGTGACACACAATGTTTGTGTGTGGGTGTGAGAGTGTGCGAGGCTGTGACACACAATGTCTGTGTGTGTGGATGTGAGAGTGTGCGAGGCTGTGACACACAATGTCTGTGTGTGGGTGTGTGAGAGTGTGCGAGGCTGTGACACACAATGTCTGTGTGTGTGGGTGTGAGAGTGGCGTCAACATCGTGGTGCTGGCATCATCACCACTCTACACTACCACTGCACACACACAAAGTCAAGTTAGTGTAGTACTATTATTATTTATTATTATTCACGAGTGATTAGCAGTATGTGTACATTTATACTAACGATATTAGTATGTGTACACTTATACTAACTAATATTAGTATGTGTACACTAGTACTAACGAATATTAGTATTTGTGCAATAATACTTACGAATATTAGTATGTGCACATTAATATTAACTAATATTAGTAAGTGTACACTAAAACTGACTAATATGAATGTGTGTACACTAATACTAACGAATATTAGTGTGTGTACACTATTACTAACTAATATTATGTGTACACTAATAATAACGAATATTTGTATGTGTACACTAAAACTGACTAATATGAATGTGTGTACACTAATACAAACTAATATTAGAATGTGTACACTAATACTAACGAATATTAGTTTGTGTACACTAATACTAACTAATGTTAATATGTGTACACTAACACTAACTAATATTAGTGTGCCTACACTAATACTTACTAATATTAGTATGTGTACACTAATACTAACTAATAACAGTATGTGTACACTAATACTAACGTATATTAGTATGTGTACACTAATGCTAACTAATATAAGTATGTGTACACTAATACTAACTAATATTAGTGTGTGTACACTAATAGTAACGAATATTAGTATGGTTACACTAATACTAACGAATATTAGTATGTGTACACTAATACTAACGAATATTAGTATGTGTACACTATTACTAACTAATATTAGTGTGTGTACACTAATACTAAATACTATTAGTTTGTGTACCCTAATACTAACTAATGTTCATATGTGTACACTAACACTAACTAATATTAGTGTGTTTACACTAATACTAACTAATATTAGCATGTGTACACTAATATTAACTAATATTAGTATTTGTACACTAATACTAACTAATATAAGTATGTGTACACTAATACTAACGAATATTAGTATGTGTACACTAATACTAACGAATATTAGTATTTGTGCAATAATACTTACGAATATTCGTATGTGCACATTAATATTAACCAATATTTGTATGTGTACACTAATACTAACTAATATAAGTTTGTGTACACTAATACTAACAAATATTAGTATGTGTACACTAATACTAATGAATATTAGTGTGTGTACACTATTACTAACTAATATCATTATGTGTACACTAATAATAACGAATATTTGTATGTGTACAGTAATACTAACTATTATATAGTAGGTGTACACTAATACTAACTAATATTAGTATCTGTACACTAATACTAACGAATATTAGTAGGTGGACACTAACACTAACGAATATTAGTATGTGTCCACTAAAACTGACTAATATTAATGTGTGTACACTAATACAAACTAATATTAGAATGTGTACACTAATACTAACGAATGTTAGTATTTGTGTACACTAATACTATCTAATGTTAATATGTGTACACTAACACTAACTAATATTAGTGTGTGTACACTAATACTTACTAATATTAATATGTGTACACTAATACTAACGAATATTTGTATGTGTACAGTAATAATAACTAATATAAGTATGTGTACACTAATACTAACTAATATAAGTAGGTGTACACTAATACTAACTGATATTAGTATGTGTACACTAATAGTAACTAATATTAGTATGTGTACACTTATACTAACTAATTTTAGTATGTGTACACTAATACTAACTAATATTAGTATGTGTACACTAAAACTGACTAGTATTAGTATGTGTACACTAATGCTACCTAATATTAGTATGTGTACACTAATACTAACTAATATTAGTATGTATACACTAAAACTGACTAATATTAGTATGTGTACACTAATACTAACTAATATTAGTATGTGTACACTAAAACTGACTAGTATTAGTATGTGTACACTAATGCTAACTAATATTAGTATGTGTACACTAGTACTAACTAATATTAGTATGTGTACACTAATACTAACTAATATTAGTATGTGTACACTAGTTCTAACTAATATTTGTGTGTGTACACTAATAATAACTAATATTAGTATGTGTACACTAATAACTAATATTAGTATATGTACGCTAATAATAACTAATATTAGTATGTGTACACTAATACTAACTAATTGTAGTGTCTGTACACTAATACTAATATTAGTATGTGTACACTAATACTAACTAATATTAGTATGTATACACTAAAACTAACTAATATTAGTATGTGTACACTAATACTAACTAATATTAGGGTGTGTGCACACTAATACTAACTAATATTTGTGTGTGTACACTAAAACTAACTAATATTAGTGTGTGTACACTAATACTAACTAATATTTGTGTGTGTACACTAATACTAACTAATATTATTATGTGTACACTAATACTAACTAATATTAGTATGTGTACACTAATTATAACTAATATTAGTATGTGTACACTAATACTCACCACAGATGGACGCTCACCGACTCTGGACACAAACTCAGCCCACGACCGCCTCCAGATTTCCCCGGATCTCAGGACGGTGACGCTGAGCAATGTCCCCCAGCGTCGCCCCCATCACCCACACCGCTTTGAGCGCTGGCGACAAGCGCTGTGCTCTGAGAGCTTCTCGTCGGGTCAGCACTACTGGGAGGTGGACGTGGGGAGCGCGAGGCGGTGTCGGGTTGGAGTCACGTACGGGACGATCCCACGGAGAGGGGTTGGTGCTGAGTGCTGCCTGGGAGAGAGCGACGTCTCCTGGTGTCTACTGAAACATGACGACAGCTTCTTAGTGATGCATGGCGGGGTAGTGACGTCACTGTCGGTGCCGCAGCCTCCGCGGAGAGTCGGGGTCCACCTGGACTGGGACGCGGGGCTGCTGTCGTTTTACAGCGCAGACTCCATGGCGCTGTTGCACTCGTTTCACCAAGCATTCACTCAGCCCCTACACCCTGGGCTGATGGTGGGGTATAATGGTGACTCGGTGAGGATCGTGGATCTGAGTGGCGCGTCCTGAGAGAGGTGAACATGAACAGCGCAGAGGGCAGACGCCACGACGCACGGCGCTCGCCACCCTCGTCACCGCCACGCGCAGCGCCACGCCCGTGACTGGCTGGTGGCTGTCGGTGGCTAGGGGCTGCGTGGCTCCCCATCACAACGGGAGGGGGGGCTGAGCGTAAACAATCCTCACAACCTTCATAGGGGGGTGGGGGTGTTAAAATAAGTACCGCTCTGTGTGTGTTTGAAGCCAACGTGGATGAATTCACCCTGCCAGAGGAGTGTGACTGTAGTGTAGGGTGCAGTGATTAGCAACAATGGTGAACTGGGATGTGTTTATACACTGGTGGTGTCATGTGTTGTGGGAGAGATACAACAACAATAATATTAATGTTAAAAAGTATAAATGTACGCGCACGACAGTGGCGTTGTAACGCTTGTATCGTCGATTCTACAATAAAAATACAGAACACAACAACAACAATGTAGTTGTGTACAGCGTCATTCGTGCTCACTGTTCATTAATTAAACACGAGGAGCAAATCCTCTACACAGCCACTGCCAAGCAAATTAAATCTATAAATTAATAAATAAATAAAGAGACGGCGCCAAACACAAAAGGCGCCAACAATGTCCCAGCTGTTCAAGTCGTCTGCTGCTGCTGCGTCATGGACGTGGTGACGTCACCACGCTCACTACACCAACGCGGTGACGTCACCACGCACGCTCCCCCAACGCGGTGACGTCACCATGCTTCCCCCTCTCCCCCACCCCCACACGCGCTCCCCCGACATCCGCCCCTCACCACTGCACCATCTGTGAACACAAAGAGCTTCATAGCTCATCGGATTCCCCCTCCTGCAGCCTAAACCACGACTCTGACAGTGCGTAGCTGTGGCGGTGTGGGGCAGGGGGCTGAGTGGAGCAGAGAACTCGTCAGCTCCACTCCGTTGGTGGGCATGGAGCGGGGTGGTGGTTGTAGTGGTGTTAGTGATGGTGGTTGTGTTGGTGGTAGTGGTGTTGGTGGTCGTAGTGGTGTTGGTGGTGGTAGTGGTGTTGGTGGTAGTGGTGTTGGTGATGTGGGGAGCGATAGTGTAGCTGTTACCGTGCTGCGCTATGAATCTACCGCTCACAGCTAACACCAGTGACGATTAACTGAACCGGTCCCGGGCCTCCCCTAGGTCGACTCAGCCTCAAATGAGTACCTGGTGCAGTGTGTAAACATTGCCACTGGGGTCACAAAGGGGACCAGGCGTGGTGCTGGCCACCCACCCCCTCATGTACTGTTCCGGCCTTCATAGGTGTTCGCTAACAGCACTTGCCCCTACAGTCTGTTAAGGCTTTACGGGGGATCTTTGTCTTTGTTGTTGTTAGTGGTGGTAGTGGTGGTAGTGGTGGTTTTGTTGTTCGTGGTGGTAGTGGTGGTGGTAGTTGTGGTAGTGGTAGTTGTGGTGGTTGTAGTGGTGGTGGTAGTGGTTGTGGTGGTAGTGGTGTTGGTGGTGGTAGTGGTGGTAGTGGTGGTTTTGTTGTTCGTGGTGGTAGTGGTGGTGGTAGTTGTGGTGGTTGCAGTGGTGGTGGTAGTTGTGGTAGTGGTTTAGGTGGTAGTGGTGTTGGTGGTGGTAGTGGTGGTTTTGTTGTTCGTGGTGGTAGTGGTGGTGGTAGTTGTGGTAGTGGTGGTGGTGGTAGTGGTAGTTGTGGTGGTTGTAGTGGTAGTGGTGGTAGTGGTTGTGGACTGTGGCCGTGAGTGTCGATGTGGTGTCTCTTGGCCAGCGGTGACGGTGCGAGAAGTTCACTTTAAGCGTGGGCCCAGTTTAGGCACCTTTAGTAATCTACTTTTAGCGATTTACAATAAAAAATCAATTGAATGCACCCGCGATTCCTAATGTGAGAGACAAATGTAGAAGTTAAACTCCGCCAATGATTTTAAGTCCTCAACTTTGCCTCATTCGCCGCTTTATATTTTTTGGCGCCAAAAGTGTAAATACAAAATGGCGTCGGAGACTCCATTTTGTACCATTTATTTATTTATTTACAATTAACGAGCGTTGATAACTTTGTTATGGAAATTCTGAGGTAAATTAATGCGCATATAGCAATCGGAAGGCGGTTACAACGTTATGAATGGTAAAACAAGAAAAAAACATAGATGTCGTTATTTTTTGTAGCTTGTTGAATTGAATGTTAATTACGTTCAAAGTGTTAATGGTTGAAACGTACAAACTGGCTGCCTTGGGGTTGAGCGTTTGTCGCGATCCGAGTTGGTTCTGAGTCTTGGTCGAGATGACTGCAGCGGCTGATTCAGATTGGAGAGGCGTTTTTGTTTTATTAGTTCATGATCAGTACGGTATGATTTGCCTCATGAATATGATGAGATATGAAGATGTATTTATTATTACACCTAAATATTGTTTCATTTCCGTATTATAACGGTTTTGAATAGGAAACGTAGGCTAACTATATATTTGAGTATTTTTTGTTCAAGTACGTCTTGTGTTCAGTGTTGGTCCAATAGGCCATGGGGGTGAACAGAGTGGTGGATTGTGGCATGTGCTGTTTTTTCCTGGATTTTCTGTTTACACAGTCACATAATCACTTTAAGATTATTTCTTGTTTTTGTTTGTTGTGGTTGCACCCGATTCAAGAGCCAAATGGCTCACAGGGCTATACCAAATAAATGAAACTGAAAACTGGAATGTGGGATGATGCGAACTAAAATCTATATTTATTTTTCTAGGCAAGGCTAACTGAGATGAGTCGCTCTTGTTCACGTGTGACCTGGTTATCACAAATTACAGCTCAGCGGAGTGGCTCGCCACGTGGATATTTACAGCGGCAGCCAAATCCTCTGAATGCAAATTTACTCTAAATGTGGAGGGGGAAAACGGAGGACCCGGAGAGAAATCTACGCGACAACGGGGAGAGAGACGTGATGACTCAAAATATACAGCAGCAGGCGGGATCGAACCCACGACCTCCTGTGTACCAGGCGAGGTGGTTAACATCTCGCCACCAATGCAGTGACTCTTGGCCACTGCTGCAGAGACACGAGGGTTACCCAGAAGTGATTTGTTTGCTTTTGTTCAGAGTGCACAATTAAATGATAACTCGTGCTTAAACTATTTACATTGTAGCTGTTCAAGAGATAGGACGCTTAACTTTGGAATGCTGCTGAGCCTTGTGCCAGTGTTTGCTGAATCATGAACTTCGAATTCCTCTCCAAAGGTCGCAGCTATTTTAACCTTTAAGCTGCCTGTCAATTCTCAACGTCAAACAAACCTCTTACTTAACTTGTTGATTTAGAATTATTATTATTTGTTGACACTGAGTTGGCAGTTGTGCACATGCAAAGATAACAAACTCTCAACACATTGGTTAATAACAGCCAAGTAATAGAAAACGTGTAACTGGTGACGTTTCAGGCAATGGCTCTTCTTGAGAGCACATTCATGATGGGTTTATGAAGAATGATAATTGCTATAAACGTCGCGTATTGCCTATATAGATGCATTTCCTTTAATGGTGGTGTTATTGATGAATGTGTTGATTTGTTTTGGAAAACGATGAAGAAGATTACCATTCGTAAAGTGCAGCGCATCGTCAGTAGAACACGCACACAGACTGAAGATGCTTCACCACCACCTTGATCAGCTTCACTCGGTGGGGCCCACCTGAGTGGAAGCCTTTTGAGGGGGTTGGTGGATCAAGAAAATTTGTGTTGGGGGGGGTGGTGGTGGATCACGAATATTTGTGAAACTAAAAAATAGCTGAGGCTGCAAAGTAGCCAGATGTTGTACATGAAGCAGGTTCGTTAATCTTCTTTTGTTCTTTCGGTAAAGTCACATAGAATGAGAATAAAATAATAAATTGATAAAAAATAAAATAACACGATAAAATTCTCACGACGTTTCGGCCACAACACAAGCGGCCTTCATCAGGTGAATGGACGAGACTGTCTGGAGGACAGCGCTGGAGCGAAAAAGCCACGCTCAGATCGCGACCTTTAAGCTGTGTGAGAAGAAACACAGCGTCTTGACAAAGGAATTAGCATAGAATTTAGCATTGAAACAGCTGAGTGATTAGCTTGTGACTGGTCACAGAAATGGCTATGTTAAAGTTAAAGCATACACATCCACAGAGGCACCCCTTGACAAAGGAATTAGCATAGAATTTTAGCATTGAAATAACTGAGTGATTAGCTTGCGACTGGTCACAGAAATAGCTATGTTGAATTCAAAGCCTACACATCTGAGCTATTCACAGTAACTGGGTATACACTACAATATATAAGGAATACTATATAGTGAACCAAAAAAACTAAAATATAAATTACCTCAATGTTATCAATAAACTCTATATATTCTCCAATCAGCTAAGCTACCAACAATAAGTCGTTATGTATCACAATGCTATATGGCGAAAAAATGGGTGGATTCTTACCCTATACTTTAGCAACACGGAAAGCTACGGGCCCCGTTCAGACGGACGAGTTCATCCATGGTCGGAACAGAGGAGGGGGAGAGAGACAGCTGCGAGGCGCTGTTATACTCCATGTTGTAAACCATACCATTAACCGTGGTGTGAGAGGTATTAAGAGTCAATGCCAGCGAAAGAGCTGCGGTCTGAAGGTCATCGTAAAATACAATTAATTAAGAACGGAAATGGTTTAAAACATCTTTCCAATGGTTACTAAGCCAGAATCCATCTTCTCGGTTGAAATTGTCTCTGTGCTTGTATATGTGAATGGCCTCATGAAAGAATCTCTCCTGGTAGCCGGTTGGTTTGCAAAGAACCTCCGTCTTGGAGAAGTCAATGTCATGTGAGCCCACTGAATTATAACAGTGATCTGCCACGGCAGAGGAGTTCGTTCTACCGTGTTTCAAGTCTGCTTTATGTTCGCGGATGCGGTCCGAGATATGTCGTTTGGTTTCTCCAATGTAGCTACTACCACAGAGGCACTTTAGTTTGTAAACGCCCGGGTACTGTATGTCTTGAATAGCATCTTTCACAGATGGAACTAGATCACGGATTTTATGTGCTGTGTTGAATCGGACCTGGATCTTGTGTTTATTCAGGATTTTGGAGATCTTTTTAGTGACCCCTGCAATGTAGGGTAAGGTGATGGTTTTGAGTGGCTCCACAAGAGGATCCTTCTTCATGACTGGAATGATGGCTTTGCGGATTGTGTAGTCGGAGTAACCATTAGCCCTGAGAGCCTGGTGTACGTGCTTGAGTTCACTGGTAATGTGTTCCTGGTCAGAAATGCATTGGGCTCTATGGTATAGAATCTTGATGAGGGAGTTCTTCTGGGATGGATGGTGGTGTGAATCCAGTTTCAAGTAAGAATCTGTATGGGTAGCTTTCTACAGCTTTCTACAGGAAAACTACCCATACAGATGCTCACTATATAGTATTCATTATATATTGTAGTGTATACCCAGTTACTGTGAATAGCTCAGATGTGTAGGCCTTGACCTCAACATAGCC